TAATTAATTATATTAGCTATTAATAACTAATAAATAAATAAATAATTATATAAATAAAAAAGAAGAAAAAAGAAGAAAAAAGAAATAAATAAATATTTGTTTTTCTTATCTTATTAAGACAAGAAATAATAAAAAGAAAGAAATAAATAAAAAGAAGAAAAAGAAGAAAAAAAAAGAAAAAAAAAGAAGAAAATAAAATAAATAAAAAAGAATATAAAGTTATAAATATATATTAAGGGAGGAAAAAAAAAAGAAAAAAAAAGAATAAAAAAAAGAATAAAAAGGAAGAAAAAAAGAAATAAATTAATTATTCTTTTTTTTTCCTTTTTTTTTTTCTTTTTTTTTTCTTCTTTTTTCCTCCGCATGCAGATTAAGAGGAAACAGCTCCAGAAGGAATTACTTGGACTGTACCTACAAAATAAATAAATAAATAAATAAATAAATAAATAAATAAATAAATACATAAATAAATTAATTAATTAATTAAATTAAATAAATAAAAAGGAAATAAATTAGCAGCAACAACAGCAGCAACAGCAGCAGCAGCAGCAGCAGCAACAGCAGCAGCAGCAGCAGCAGCAACAGCAGCAGCAGCAGCAGCAGAATTAATATAATTATACCATCAGGAAAGTAGATAATTTCTTCTTGTTTTTCTTCTTCTTCTTCTTCTTCTCCTTCTCGTTTATTTTCTTGTTTTTTTTCTCCTTTTTTTTCTTCTTTTTTTTCTTTTTTTTTATTTATTTTTTTTATTATTTTTTTTATTGAATTGGCAAATATTATCTGGGCAGATCCATCGCTGTATATACACTCCAATTGCCCATCACTAAATCTATAAATAAATAAATAAATAAATAAATAAATAAATAAATAAATAAATAAATAAATAAATAAATAAATAAATAAATAAATAAATAATATAAATAAATAAATAAATAAAAAGAAAAAAAAAGAAAAAGTGCATAAAAAATATTCGTCTATTGCTACTACTACAACAAATCCTGCTGCTATTAATAAATAAATAAATAAATAAATAAATAAATAAATAAATAAATAAATAAATAATATTTATTTATTTATTTATTTACCTGTACCCCTGTAGGTAATAATATCCTTATATCTCCATTAGTAAATAAGACAAAAGAAATATTATTTATTGTCTTTATCCTCTCCATACCATTAGAATAAATAATTCTTTTATCTCCTGCATGCACAAATTAATTATTATATATATATATTTATTGTTGCTGCTCCTCCTCCTGTTGCTGCTGCTGTTCCTGCTGCTGTTGCTGCTGTTTTAAAGGGGTAAGGGACAGTACTTACTTAGGTCATAACCATCAGATTGAGGATATGTTTGCTGCTGCGGTATTGCTGCTGCTCCTGCTGCTGCTGTTGCTGCTGTTGCTGCAGTTGCTGCAGTAGCAGCAGCAACAGTATGGGTTTCCTCAGCAACAGTAGCTGCTGCAGCATGCGGCACAGCTGAAGTAACAGTAGCAGCAGCAGCAGCAGCAGCAGTATCTACTGCTGCTGCTCCTTTTCCTACACCTGCTCTTGTTGCTGCTCCTGCTCCTGCTCCTCTTGCTGCTGTTGCTGCTGCTGCACCTGCTGCTGCTGCTGCTGCAGCAGCAGCAGGAACAGGAAAAACACCAAATTGTGTTACTACCTCAGGAGGCAGCAACGGCTCCGCCTCTAGAGGAATGCTGCTGCTGTGGTGTGTGCTGCTCTCCCTAGTAGAGGTGCTGCTCTGTGATGCTTCGTGCTGCTGCTGCTGCTGCTGCTGCAGCTGCTGCTGCTGCTGCTGCAGCAGCTGCTGATGGGGTTTAGATATAGATGTATTTCCTGCTGCAGCAAGAGATTGAGATAATTGTAATAACATCTGCTGCTGCTGCATTAATTGCTGCTGCTGCTGCTGCAGCATCTGCTGCTGCTCGTACAGCAGCTGCTGCTGCTGAGGATTATGACGACCAAAGGAATCTGTAGGGGATATAAAGGAAGCAGCAGGCAGCAAAGTTGTGCTGCCTTGCTGCTGCTGCTGCTGCTGCTGCTGCAGCTGCTGCTGTTGCTGCTGCATCTGCTGCTGCTGTCGTAAACTACTTGCAACAGAAGCAGCAAGACGACCCAACGCAGACGGTGCATCAGCTGCAGCAGCAGCAGCAGCACTAGCACCTGCAGCAGCAGGACCAGCAGCAGCAGCAGCAGCAGCAGAACACAAGTCTTGCTCAAGCATGCTTGCTGCTGTGTCTTGCCAATCAGGGCCATCTAATGCAGAAGGAGAGAGCATTGGAGGAGAATCTACTTGCTGCTGCTGCTGCTGCTGCTGCTGCTGCTGCTGCTGCTCCCAGTGTGCTATGCTGCAGCAGCTGCTGCTGCGGATGCTGCTCGTGCTGCTCAAGCTAGACCGCCGACGAGCAGCAGATGCTGCTGTATGTGTTCTATGCTGCCGCTGCTGCTGCTGCTGCTGCTGCTGTTGCTGCTGCTGCTGCTGGCGGCGGGCGGAAAGGGGTGTGCTGCGCCCAGATACAGACGCGGGCCTCCCTGGGTATCTTTTTGCTGCTGCTGCTGCTGCTGCAGCAGCAGCAGTGGTTGCTGCTGCTGCACAAGAAGCAGCAAACACAAAGACACAAAAAAGAAAATACTACAAAAGCCCCAACACACACACATTGAACTCCAAACCCTAAACCCTAAACCCTAAACCCTTCATACCTGCATGCGGAGGGTTTCCTGTAGCAACAGCAAGCCTTAGCTCTGCTTTTGCTTCCTGCAGCTGCTGCTGCAGCTGCTGCTTCTCTGCTGCCCAACGACTGTGTGCTGATCTATACCGACTCCTTAGGCTTTGTAGCTCCTCCTGCATGCAGCAGCAGCAGCAGCAGCAGCAGCAGCAGCAGCAACAACAGTAGCAGCAGCACGAACAAATGCAGCGAGAGAGAACGGGAATTAAGTTCTCCAAGCAGCAAAGCAGCAGCAGCAGCAGCAGCAGCAGCAACTAGAACCCCACGCACCTTCAAATCTGCAACTTGCTGCTGCAGCAGCTGCTGCTGTTGCTGCTGCTGATGCTGCTGCGCCAAACCCTCACGCAGTCGCTCTCTTTCCGCTGCAGAGAGAGCCCACACCAAACCCTAAACCCTAAACCCTAAACCCTAAACCCTAGACCCTAAACCCTAATAAGAGGAGAAGAAGGGATAACAAACCTGCAAGACGACGCTTCTGCTGCTGCAGCTGCTGCCTGCATGCGCTTATCTCCTGCAGCGCCTGCTGATGCTGCTCATTCATAGTTGAATGTAATCGGCCTACACACAAACCCTAAACCCTAAACCCTAAACCCTAAACCCTAATTCCGAGGCTGGGAGGTGTGTGGCTTCTGCAGTTGCTGCGAAGGCAATGCACTCATCACCTTTACAGCACATCTCCAAACCCTAAACCCTAAACCCTAAACCCTAAACCCTAAACCCTTACCCCTTTCTGCCTCAAGATCAGCTCTTTGCTGACGGAGTTCAGCAGAAATATTTCTTAGACGATCTTCGCTTTCCCTCAATCTGCAGATACACCCCAGCACACGAGGGTTTAGGGTTTAGGGTTTAGGGTTTTAGAGAGGAGGAGTTCCTATGGTAAATAATAGCCTAACCCTAAACCCTCATAGCTGCAATAGATACCCTTAAGAGGGTTTAGGGTTTATAATTAGGGTTTATGGTGTATAATAAGTGTTTAAAGTCTATAATTAGGGTTTAGGGTTTAGAATTAGGGTTTAGGGTTTAGGGTTTAGGGTTTATTACCTTCCCATCTGTAACTTAAGGATCTCCATTCTTGATTTAAACAATTCTCTTTCGCTCTCTTCTGCTGCAGCAGCAGATACCTGCAGCGCCCCGCTGCTGTTGCTGCCTTCTGCTGCTGCTGCTGCTCCTGCTGCTGCTCCTGCTGCTGCTGCTGCTGGTTCTGCTGCTCCTGCTGCTGCTGCTGCTGCACCAAATTCATCAGCAAAGGATATTAAACGAGGACGATGCAGAGGAGACAGCTGCTGCTGCTCTTCCTCTACGTGACGCTGCTGCTGCTGCTGCTGCTGCGGCACCTGCTGTTGCTGCTGCTGCTGCTGCTGCTGCTGCTGCTGCCTGGAAGCTGCATGCTGCCTCAGGGAGAATACTCGACGGTCAATTGCCTCATCTTCCTCCTCTTCCTCTTCATCCTCGCTTTGCTGCTGCTGCTGCTGCTGTTGCTGCTGCTGCTGCTGCTGTCGCTGCTGCTCTTCGCCTCGCTGCAGTGGGCTGTCTGGGGACGTCAGCGATGCTCCATCCTCAGCACCAGCTGTTGCTGCTGTTGCTGCTGCTGCTGCTGCTGCTGCAGCTGCTGCTGAAGATGATGCTTGCTTCCTAGAGGAGATCGAATGTCTACCTTGCTGCAGCTGTGCCTGCTGCTGCTGCTGCTGCTGCTGCTGCATTTCCTCCTGCTGCTGCTGCAGCTGCTCGCCTAGCCAATCATCATCCTCTGCATCATCTGGCTGATCTAGTAGGTCATGCATCCTCATCAATTGCTGCTGCTGCTGCAGCAGCTGCTTATGCTGCTGCTGCTGCTGCTGCTGCTGCTGCTGCTGCTTCCGTCCCTGCAGCAGCAGATTCCTCGTCGTTGGGGTGTCTTCAAACAGACGGGTGTCCCAATCTGCTTCTCTCTTTGCTGCTTCATCTGCTGCTGCTGCTGCTGCTGCTGCTGTTGCTGCTGCTGCTGCTGCTGCTGAGTCATCCTCATCTTCTCCGTCAGATGCAGCAACGCGGTGATTATGCTGCTGCTGCTGCTGCTGCTGCTGCAGTTGCAGCTGGTGCTGCTGTCTTCGGCTTGTTGGCGATGCTGGTCCTGCTGCTGCAGCTGCAGCTGCACCGCTATGACGAGCATCTGCAGCAGCAGCAGCAGCTGCTGCTGCTGCGGTTGCTGCTGCTGCTGCTCTTGGACTATGCTGCAGCTCCCCTTGAAGGGTTGATGACTCAGGTGTTGTTGCTGCTGATGCTGCTGCTGCTGCACCTCTAGGGGGGCCCCTCCTGCCGCAGACAGAGGGGGCCCTCCATGCTTGTAGGTTAGTACCCTTTCTAAGGAAAGGGCGGCACTGCTGCCGCTGCTGCTGCTGTTGCTGCTGCTGCTGCTGCTCTGTCTGCTGCTCCATAAGGGAGGAAGATGAGGCGACGCCTCTGCTGCTGCTGCTGCTGCTCTCTGCTTCCTGCTGCAGCGCACGCTGCAGCAAAGCCTCGAAGGGAGCTGGCTCCTCCCCTGCTGCTGCTACTGCCACGGGTATCTCATCAAAGGGATTCCTGCTGCTGCTGCTGCTGCTACTGCTGCTGCTGCTGATTCTACTGTTGTTGTTGTTGCTGCTGCTGCTGCTACTGCTGCTGCTGCCTCGTGTCGAGGCAGTCATGTGCCGCGAATCCTCTGTGTCTGCTGCTGTATCCGGCGAAGCAGCAGCAGCAGCAGCAGCAAATACAGCACCTCTCTTATCTCTGCTGCTGCTAACTCGCACCATGGACTTTCGCTGCTGCTGCTGTTGCTGCTGCCGCATATCTGCTGCTGCTGCTGCTGCTGCTGCTGCTGCTGTTGGTGTCCCTCCCCTGCTTGGAGGACTACGCACCTTCTTGTATGCCTCTCTAAGTTCTTCGATTTCGCTGTCTACGAAGGATATACAATGCTGCTGCTGCTGCTGCTGCTGCTGCTGCTGCCGCTGCTGCTGCTGCAGCTCAACATAAGACTTATATCTACGGGAAGCAAAGCGATGATGTTCTGTATAGCTGCTGTCTTCGTCATCTTCTATGTACTCAAGAGCAGCAGCAGCAGCAGCAACAGAGTGCGAGCTGCTTAGCTGCTGCTGCTGCTGCAGCAGCCCGTGTCGCTCATGCCTCCTATGCATACGGTCAAGGAGGCCCCCGCTGCTGCTTAGGCGGGGGGCCCCGAGGCCCCTCTCCTCCATTTGTCTGCTGCTGCTGTCTGCAGCAGAAGAAAGAGGGACCTTCTAAGGTGGGGGGCCCCCTGGAGGCCCCTCTAATACCCGCCAACAACAAGGGGGCCCCTACAGGAGGGTACCGCCACTGGTGTTACTAAGATGGTGGTAGGCGACAGGGGGGCCCCCCTAGTCTGTGTGCTGCTGCAGAGGGGCCCCCTAAGTATCCCTTGGGGCCCTATAAGAATAAAACAAAGTAAATAATCAAATAAAACAGCAAAGACGATGATATAAGGAAAAGAATCTGTGCATGCAGCCAGGGGGGCCCCCCCTTGTACATACACCCCGCGACAGGGGAGAAAAGGGTAAGGGAGAAAAGAAGAAAAAGGGGGCCCCTATACCTCTTTATGTCTATAAAGACAAAAAAGAAAGAAAGAAAAGAAAGAAAGATAATTAAATATATTTATATACGCAGGTGCGACCTCAGCAGGGGGGTGGTTATGGTGGTGGCTGGGGTTTGTGGTTGTTGTTGCAGCAGCAGCAGCAGCAGCAGCAGCAGCAGCAGCTGTGTTGCTTGTTGTTGAGTCCAAGCTGCTGCTGCTGCTGCT